CGAACCTAATCCTTATCACATACCACCGGGGATTCGAAAGCATGCCAGTTAACTCTATGAAAGACCTTATGATACAGTGCGCACATGCTAACCATTCGGCCATCCAACCCCCCATGGGAAAAGAGTATCGATACGGTAAATGGATTGCACATTGACTTTGTGGATATCGTCACACGTGGAGGAGACAATGGAGTTGTCAAGTAGACCATATTTGTGCAGAATCCCCGAATAATAGCATAAAACAATTAGCTGACGTTAAAAAATCAAATGTCGTATGTCATGGAAATCTCAATGTCATTTGAGGGCACTTGCAGCCAAAAACTCATGCTTTTTGTCTCATGCTCATGCAGAAAGATAGGTTACCAGGCAACGAAACATACACCAGCTAAGTCGTCCAAGCAGTCAACAAGAGTTGTCATATATTTTCATACGCCCACATTTTCATGTGGACGTATTATGTCGTCGCGTCCGTCCGTCCACAATTGTTTGTGAACAGTTTACAGGTCACAATTTTTATCCGATTTTAATGAAACTTGAAATATAGGTTTATCACCCTAAGATCTCAGTTCCTTTTGATATTGGCATGTATCGGACCGTAACTTCATGGATTATGGCCTCTGATTGCACGAAAAATCACGTTTTTAGCTTGTGAACACTGTAGAGGTCACAATTTTTATCCAATTTGGTTTAAACTTGAAATGTATTCTTATAACCCAAAGATCTCGGTTCCTTTCGATATTCACGCATATCGGACCGTAACTTCCTGAATTATGGCCCCTGATTGTACGAAAAATCGCGTTTTTAGCTTGTGGACCCTATAGAGATCATAATTTTTATCTGATTTAAAAAAACGTATTATTACATCACCGTTACACCCTAAGGAAGACTGAGTTCGAATTTTGTGAAAATCAGGCCAAAACTGACAGACAAAATGGCCGCCGTTCGTTCTCAAATAGCGTAAAAATATGGTATATCAAGTTTGTGGACACTATAGACGTCACAATTTTTATCCGATTTTGTTGAAACTTGAAATATAAGTTTATAACCCAGAGATCTCGGTTCCTTTCGATATTCACGCATATCGGACGTAACTTCCTGAATTATGTCCCCTGATTGTACGAAAAATTGCGTTTTTAGCTTGTGGACCCTATAGAGGTCATAATTTTTATCCGATTTAAAAAAACATATTATTATATCACTGTCACACCCTAAGGACGACTGCTTTCGAATTTCGTGAAAATCGGCCCAAAACTGACAGACAAAATGGCCGCCGTTCGTTCTCAAATAGCGTAAAAATATGGTATATCAAGGTCGTGGACCCTGTAGACGTCACAATTTTTATCCGATTTTGTTGAAACTTGAAATGTAAGTTTGTAACCCAAAGATCTTGGTTCCTTTAGATATTTGCGCATACCGGACCATAACTTCCTGAATTATGGCCCCTGATTGTACGAAAAATCGCGTTTTTAGCCTGTGGACCCTGTATAGGTCATAATTTTTATCAGATTTAAAAAAACGTATTATTATATCACCGTTACACCCTAAGGACGACTGAGTTCGAATTTCGTGATTCTGAGTTCAAATTTCGTGAAAATCGAACCAAAACTGACAGACAAAATGGCCACCCTTCTTTCTCAAATATCGTAAAAATATGGTATATCAAGGTTGTGGACCCTATAGAGGTCACAATTTTAATCCGATTTTCTTGAAACTTGAAATGTAAGTTTATAAACCAAAGATCTCGGTTCCTTTCAATATTTGTGCATATCGGACCGTAACTTCCTGAATTATGGCCCCTGATTGTACCAAAAATCGCGTTTTTAGCTTGTGGACCCTATAGAGGTTATAATTTTTATCCGATTTAAAAAAACGTATTATTATATCACCGTTATACCCGAAGGACGGCTGAGTTCGAATTTCGTGAAAATCGGCCCAAATTTGACAGAAAAAATGGCCGCCATTCGTTTTCAAATAGCGTAAAAATATGGTATATCAAGGTTGTGGACCCTACAGAGGTCACAATTTTTATCCAATTTTGTTGAAACTTGAAATGTAAGTTTATAACACAAAGATCTCGGTTCCTTTCGATATTTGCGCATATCGAATTGTAATTTCCTGAATTATGGCCCTTGATTGTAGGAAAAATCACTTTCTTTTCAGCTTGTTCTCTATCCATCTCTCGAAAATGGGGGCGTATCCTGCTGGCAGCTGCTGGTTGAATTGAATATGAAAAATAGTGAAAATTCTAAATTAACCGGCAAGAAAATAAACAAAATAGGCCATAATTTGTTGAATTTGTCTCCTATTTCTGAAATTAATATATTTCTGGATAGAATGGATCAGGGTCGAATATATTGTATTTGAACATTTCGAATTGACGTCTTTGACCTTTTTCGTGCCGACAAAATTGTTTACAGGACAATTTATTTCATTAATTTAAAAAATTTATAAATTTGAGCTAAAAAATGTTCAGAGCAGAATTTTGATTTAGGTCAACTGATAGTCAACATTTTGAATTGAATATGAAAAATAGTGGAAAATCTACATTAACTGGCTTGAAAGTAAACAAAATAGGCCGTGGTTTGTTGAATTTGTCTTCTATTTCCAAAATGAATACATTTCTGGATAGCCTTGATCAGGGTTGAATATTTGTTATTTCAAAATTTCAGATTTGAAAAATTAACATTAACAAAAATAATCACAATAGGCTGTAGTTCGCGAATTTGTCTTATATTTCCGAAATTAATAAATTTCTGGATAGCTTTGGATGAGAGTCTTGTATTTGAAAATTTCAAAATATGAATTTCGTCTTTGAAGTTTTTTGTGCTGACAGTTATTTACCGCACAATTTTTTTCTTAATTATCATAAACTTAGAAATCAGGTCAAATGTTGATAGCAAGCAATTAAGTAGGTCATTTGCTGCCTGTTTTGGAAGTTATATAAAAATAATTTGGTAACCAAAGGTTCCTAGCAACTTTTAGAATGTTAAAACAAGAAATTTCGCCCTGTTGAAATGTTTACCTTTATAACTTAATAAATCATTTCTGTTTAAGATTCTTAAGAAGATCAATAATCTGTAACATCTATCGAGATATTTTGCCCGGCTGAAATGTTTCTCATTATAACTCAGCACTCAGCGAATATTTAGGCCGATCTAAATAATTCATTTTTGACGAAATCCATGATCTGTGACCCTGAATATGAAAGCTTTCATATCTGCCTTGCAAATCTAGTTAAGGTTGTGTTAGAATTTTGTAAAAATCAGACAGAGGCTGTCTGGTAAAATGGCTTCTCCCCTTTACGCAAATTGTATAATAAGCACGAAACTTAAGATATATATGTTTTTGTCCCAAAGATCTCGGTTTCTTTCAATATTGACGCATGTCAAAGTATAACATACTGGATTATGTCCATCTCTTGCAAAATGTGGGCGGATCTTGCATGGCAACCTCTTGTTTTTTATAACATGTGGACGTATATTGTCGTCGCCCCTGTTTGTCCGTCCGTCCACAATTTGTTTGTGGACACTCTACAGGTCACAGTTTTTATCCGATTTCAACGAAACTTGAAATATAGCTTTATCTCCCTAAGATCTTGGTTCCTTTGGATATTGGCATGTATCGGACCATAACTTCATGGATTATGGCCCCTGATTGTACGAAAAATCACGTCTTTAGCTTGTTGATACTCTAGAGATCGCAATTTTCATCGGACTTTGATGAAACTTGAATTGCATATTTATAACCCAAAGATCTTGGTTCCTTTTGATATTCGCGTATATCGGATCTTAACTTCCTGAATTATGGCCCCTGATTGCACGAAAAATCGCGTTTTTGGCTTGTGGTCCCTCCAGAGGTCACAATTTTTATACGCCCACATTTTCATGTGGACGTATTATGCCATCGCCCCTGTCCGTCCGTCCACAATTGTTTGTGGACTCTCTACAGGTCACAATTCTTATCCGATTTTGACGAAACTTGAAATATAAGTTTATCCCCAAAAGATCTCGGCTGCTTTCGATATCGGCATGTATCGGATCGAAACTTCATGGATTATGGCCCCTGATTGTACGAAAAATCACGTTTTTAGCATGTGGACCCTATAGAGGTCACAATTTTTATCCGATTTTGTTGAAACTTGAAATGTAAGTTTATAACCCAAAGATCTCGGTTCCTTTCGATATTCGCGCATATCGGACCGTAACTTCCTGAATTATGGCCCCTGATTGTACGAAAAATTGCGTTTTTAGCTTGTGGACCCTATAGAGGGTCATAATTGTTATCCGATTTAAAAAAACGTATTGTTATATCACCGTTACACCCAAAAGACGGCTGAGTTCGAATTTTGTGAAAATTGGCCCAAAATTGACAGACAAAATGGCCGCCGTTCGTTCTCAAATAGCATAAAATATGGTATATCAAGGTTGTGGACGCTATAGAGGTCACAATTTTTATCCGATTTTGTTGAAACTTGAAATGTAAGTTTATAACCCAAAAATCTCGGTTCCTTTCGATATTTGCGCATATAGGACCGTAACTTCCTGAATTATGGCCCCTGATTGTACGAAAAATCGCGTTTTTAGCTTGTGGACCCTATAGAGGTCATAATTTTTATCCGATTTAAAAAAACGTATTATTATATCACCGTTATACCCGAAGGACGGCTGAGTTCGAATTTCGTGAAAATCGGTCCAAAACTGACAGACAAAATGGCTGCCCTTTGTTCTCAAATAGCATAAAAATATGGTATATCAAGTTTGTGGACCCTATAGAGGTCACAATTTTAATCCGATTTTGTTGAAACTTGAAATGTAAATTTATAACACAAAGATCTCGGTTTCTTTCGATATTTGCGCATATCGAATTGTAATTTCCTGAATTATGGCCCTTGATTGTAGGAAAAATCACTTTCTTTTTAGCTTGTTCTCTTTCCATTTCTCGAAAATGTGGGCGTATCCTGCCTGGCAGCCGCTGGTTTAAATATTTAATTACTATTTCAGAGAGCTGTTGAACCACCAGAAGTAAAACATGAACGTCTATTTATAGTGTCTGTATTAGGATTTCTAGTTAATTTAGTTGGTATATTTGCATTTCAACATGGTCATTCACATGGTGGAGGAGGAGGAGGAGGTTAGTAAACCTGTTGTTATATGCCCAATATAGCCATAGGCAGCAGCTTATTTAAAAGGAAAACTTTGATGTTGACCAAATTTGATAAAATATGCCTTCACAAGCTTTTCTGGACACCTAATATATCTTTGGAACAGATAGATGTACTCCTAGAATACTGAAAATCACCAGGGTTCATCCTCTCGGATCTGAATGCTCCACATCAAATTTGAAAATCAATAGGATTCATCCTCTCATTGTCCTAATCAGGGATACTGTTTCAAAATTTTGCTCATCAGATGTTTTTAGTTATGGTTAAAGGGACAATAACACTCTTGCTGGCTTGAAAGCTCCAGAAAATAAATAATATCTCTAAGTACTAGATGTTTAAGTGTCCTACCTGTTGTGTAAATTATCCATTACATCCTATTTTATTTGTCCAGAGGGTTCGAAAATATTTTTAAATCGAAGTTTCATTTGAAAAGGTTTACGTTAGACGTTTCAAACCATTATGTTGAATTTTTCAAAATAGGTGTGTTAAGATGAAATTTGTATCATCAATTAATTGAAATATTCCAAAATAGTACAATTTGTTGACCAGAATAAAGATTGGGACATATTATTCAGTTACAACAAGAATGGTATTGAGATTTTAACAGAGGCCAAAATTTTGTCACCAGAAGTCGTTTGATAGCTTCAGGAAATAAAGGCCATAACCTTCCATTCCTATTAATAAACTTCATATCATGTTCTGAATACAAAATATAGATGCATCTGGCTATAGAGGTCACAATTTTTATCTGATTTTGTTTAAACTTGAAATGTAAATTTATAACCCAAAGATCTCGGTTCCTTTCGATATTTGCACATATCGGACTGTAACTTCCTGAATTATGGCCCCTGATTGTACGAAAAATCGCGTTTTTAGCTTGTGGACCGTATAGAAGTCATAATTTTTATCCGATTTAAAAAAATGTATTTTTATATCACTGATACACCGAAAGGACGACTGAGTTCGAAATTTCGTGAAAATCGGCCTAAAATTGACAGACAAAATGGCCGCCGTTCGTTTACAGATAGTGTACAAAAATGGTATATCAAGGTCACAATTTTTATACGCCCACATTTTCATGTGGACGTATTATGCCGTCGCCCCTGTCCGTCCGGACGTCCGAACTTTCGGCCGTCCGTCCGTCCACAATTTGTTTGTGGACACTCTACAGGTCACAATTCTTATCCGATTTTAACGAAACTTGAAATATAGGTGTATCTCCAAAAGATCTCGGCTGCTGTCGATATTGGCATGTATCGGATTGAAACTTCATGGATTATGGCCCCTGTTTGTACGAAAACTCACGTTTTTGGCTTGTGGACCCTATAGAGGTCACAATTTTTATCTGATTTTGTTGAATCTTGAAATGTAAGTTTATAACCCAAAGATCTTGGTTCCTTTCGATATTCGTGCATATCTCGGACCGTAACTTCCTGAATTATGGCCCCTGATTGTACGAAAAATCGCTTTCTTTTTAGCTTGTTCTCTATCCATCTCTCGAAAATGTGGGCGTATTTTGTTGAAACTTGAAATGTAAGTTTATAACCCAAAAATCTCGGTTCCTTTCGATATTTGCGCATATAGGACCGTAACTTCCTGAATTATGGCCCCTGATTGTACGAAAAAACGCGTTTTTAGCTTGTGGACCCTATAGAGGTCATAATTTTTATCCGATTTAAAAAAACGTATTATTATATCACCGTTATACCCGAAAGACGGCTGAGTTCGAATTTCGTGAAAATCGGTCCAAAACTGACAGACAAAATGGCTGCCCTTTGTTCTCAAATAGCATAAAAATATGGTATATCAAGTTTGTGGACCCTATAGAGGTCACAATTTTAATCCGATTTTCTTGAAACTTGAAATATAAGTTGATAATCCAAAGATCTCGGTTCCTTTCGATATTCGCGCATATTGGTCCGTAACTTCCTGAATTATGGCCCCTGATTGTACTAAAAATCGTGTTTTTAGCTTGTGGACCCTATAGAGGTCATAATTTTTATCCGATTTAAAAAAACGTTCAATTATATCACCGTTACACCCTAAGGATGGCTGAGTTCGAATTTAGTGAAAATCGGCCCGAAATTGACAGACAAAATGGCCGCTGTTCGTTCTCAAATAGTGTAAAAATATGGTATATCAAGGTTGGGGACACTATAGAGGTCACAATTTTTATCCGATTTTGTTGAAACTTGAAATCTAAGTTGATAATCCAAAGATCTCGGTTCAATTATATCACCGTTACACCCAAAAGACGGCTGAGTTCGAATTTTGTGAAAATTGGCCCAAAATTGACAGACAAAATGGCCGCCGTTCGTTCTCAAATAGTGTAAAAATATGGTATATCAAGGTTGGGGAAACTATAGAGGTCACAATTTTTATCCGATTTTGTTGAAACTTGAAATCTAAGTTGATAATCCAAAGATCTCGGTTCCTTTGGATATTCGCGCATATCGGACAGTAACTTCCTGAATTATGGCCCCTGATTGTACCAAAAATCGCGTTTTTAGCTTGTGGACCCTATAGAGGTCATAATTTTTATCCGATTTAAAAAACTGTATTATTATATCACCGTTACACCCTAAGGATGAATGAGTTCGAATTTCATGAAAATCGGCCCAAAATTGACAGACAAAATGGCCGCCGTTCGTTCTCAAATAGCGTAAAAATATGGTATATCAAGGTTGTGGACCCTATAGAGGTCACAATTTTTATCCAATTTTGTTGAAACTTGAAATGTAAGTTTATAACCCAAAGTTCTCGGTTCCTTTCGATATTCGCCCATATCGGACCGTAACTTCCTGAATTATGGCCCCTGATTGTACGAAAAATCATGTTTTTAGCTTGTGGACCCATTAGAGGTCATAATTTTTATCCGATTTAAAAAAATGTATTATTATATTACCGTTCCACCCTAAGGACAGTTGAGTTTGAATTTTGTGAAAATCGCCCCAAAATTGACAGACAAAATGGACGCTGTTCGGTCTCAATTAGCGTAAAAATATGGTATATCAAGGTTGTGGACCCTATAGAGGTCACAATTTTTATCCGATTTTGTTGAAACTTGAAATGTAAGCTTATAATCCAAAGATCTTGGTTCCTTTCGATATTCGTGCATATCTCGGACCGTAACTTCCTGAATTATGGCCCCTGATTGTATGAAAAATCGCTTTCTTTTTAGCTTGTTCTCTATCCATCTCTCGAAAATGTGGGCGTATCCTGCCTGGCAGCCGCTGGTTATCCGATTTTGTTGAAACTTGAAATGTAAGTTAATAACCCAAAGATCTTGGTTCCTTTCGATATTCGCGCATATCGGACTGTAACTTCCTGATTTATGGCCCTTGATTGTACGAAAAATCGCTTTTTTAGCTTGTTGACCGTATAGAAGTCATAATTTTTATCCGATTTAAAAAAACCTATTATTATATCACCGATACACCCTAAGGACGGCTGAGTTCGAATTTCGTGAAAATGGGCTCAATATTGATAGACAAAATGGCCGCCATTCGTTCTCAAATAACTTAAAAATATGGTATATCAAGGTTGTGGACCCTATAGAGGTCACAATTTTTATCTGATTTTCTTGAAACTTGAAATGCCAGTTTATAACCCAAAGATCTCGGTTCCTTTCGATATTGGTGCATATCGGACCTTAACTTCCTCAATTATGGCCCCTAATTGAAGAGAACTCTCGTTTTTAGCTTGTGGACCCTATAGAGGTCATAATATTTATCCGATTTAAAAAAAACGTATTATTATATCACCGTTACACCCTAAGGACGACGGGGTTTGTATTTTGTGAAAATCGGCCCAAAGATTTCGTTTCCTTTCGATATTTGCGCATATCGAATTGTAATTTCCTGAGTTATGGCCCTTGATTGTAGGAAAAATCACTTTCTTTTTAGCTTGTTCTCTATCCATCTTTCGAAAATGTGGGCGTATCCTGCCTGGCAGGATCTGGTTAAATATTCCCGTAATATTAACAATAATCGTTGGATTTTAACATTTGATACATTTTGACATAGCCAGAGACAAGACAGATAGTTTGTGATATGACCAGTTGCCGATAAATGGTCAATTTTGTACATGTCACTTTTTGCGCTACTTGTTTGAAGTAAGTGATATTCATTATTCGTATAAAATTATGATATTTGATTCCTATGGACAAATAGTATAAATTAGTACGATCATATTGATATCACAAAATTGTTTCTAACATCTTCCCTTGCCAAGAATTAACCAATTTTGTCAGGATCACTTTTTAAGATTTTACGCATTTTAATTTCAGTTTATGGGTTCTGGGTTAATTATTTATTGCCGGATTTGTGTAAAAGAAAAGCCCATATGCTCTGTGGTGCAAATTCTCAACTTTTTTCTACCGATAAAAGTTTCTGTCTGCACCGGAAGAGCTGAAATTTTGCCCAAAGCCTTAATTTTGACGTGTCTAAAGTTCTTTTAAAAAGCAAGTATTAATGTTTACAAATCTAATAGATCAAGCTGAATGCTCCTACTAAAGACGCAAAATATGTCTTGCTTATTTTTTTTTTTATTTCGGTTTTGCATTTGCGTGATTTTGATTTAAAGTTAAAAGATGAAAAAGGTGTACAAATGAGGTATTTACAATGCATTCAGACTTTTCATATTTTAAAATATTTCTTGACAACTTTCATGAACCTGTAGCATTAATCCATACGATGACAATGGATTTCAAAATTAGTTTGTAATATTGGCTGTTGCAGAGAAATAGGCAATTTTCCATGAGTCACTTTTCACGTTATTTTGCCTGTAAACAAGTTAATTATTATTTGATTTTCTATTTTCTTTTCACCATGTGATGCCCAATACCATTTTGACTGGGCGGATCCAATTTTACATTTTCACTTCACCGGAAAAGGCGTCATATGGGCAAAACTGTATTTTTAGCCTACAAAACAATTATTTTATTTAACTGTGTCGTATTTGTAATTTG